TTTTTTTTTTTTTGTGTGTGTGTGTGTGCTGGGGATGTCCCAAGGCCTGGCACATGCTGGGCATGCGCTCTCCCACTGAGCTACATCACCCACCAACTCCTGATATGTTTTTAAGCCACCAGTGCTAGTGAGTTGATCACGGACTCTTCCCCGGCTGCTCATATCTTATCTTTTACAATCTACCCAGTATCTATCATTTATGATTTTGCTTGACTGTCTATTTTGTTATTATTCGCATATTTTCAAAAGTTACTACCAAGAGTAGCATACCTGTGCCTCATTGGGTACCTGACATATGTTATCTCAATTCATTTTATTTTCCATACTACTTAGGGTTGAACCCAAGGCCTCTAGCATACTGGTCAAGTGCTCTTCACTGAGCTATACTCCCAGCCCTTTTAATTTTGAGTCCGAGTCTTGCCAAGGCTGGCCTCCAACTTGCAATCTGCTCCTTCCCCCGTACAGCTGGACTTATCGGCATGCATCACACATCTGGCTACATTATCTCAATTCTTATAAAAATTACACAGATGACAATTATTTTAGAAAAAAAAAAAAAGAAAAGAACTTGCCAGGCGTACTGATACATGCTTATAATCTCAGTGACTTGGGAGGCTGAGGCAAGAAGATTTCAAGTTCAAAGTCAGCAACCTAGTGAGGCCCTAAACAACTTGGCAAGAACCTATCTCAAAATAAAAAGCAAAAAGGGCTGGTAATGTGGCTCAGTGGTTTTAATCCCTAATACCAAAAGAAAAAAAAAGAAAATTCATTTAAAAAGTCAGATATTTGTTAAAATTTTAAACGTTTAACAATTTAAATTAAAAAATGTAGCATTCACTCCTATGAAGCAAAGAGACTGCAGCTCCGAAGGCACAGCTGAGACCAACTGGGAAAGCCTTCTCAGTTTTGCCAGTGTTGCCTCTATACCTTCGCTACAGTATGTTTAATATGATAGGTACTGGAGAAACTACATGAAATCTGAATTATTGGATGATTTTTAAATGATACTCATAGTGAAAGCATGCCCAAAAATGTGACCAGCTTTTTACTGGGGTTGCTGTGTGTCTCCAGGAAGAAGAGGAGGGGTCAGAAGACGATAGCCACACGAAGCCTGACTTCACAGTCACTCTCAAAACAGATTTCAGTGCACGTTGTTTTCTGGACCAATTCGAAGATGATGCCGATGGGTTTATTTCCCCGATGGATGATAAAATACCATCAAAATGCAGCCAGGACACAGGGCTTTCAAATCTGCACGCTGCGTCCATGTATGTCGTTTTGAGGGTGGTATTGAAATAGGTCAGAGAAAATAACTTTCATAAATATTATCTTCGCCTTTGTATTTAAATAAATTGGCAAAACACAAGTGGTTAACCCGGGGTGCCTCTGGGTGGAGAAAACAGTGACCGATTTAAAAAAGATCCTGTCTCAGTTTCCTTTTATGCTTTCTCCCATAGTTATTTGAGGGAGCTTTTGAGCTCTTGCTGAAATAACCAGAATGTCTCTCTAAATGGCATTGTGTGGGGTGGTTCTATTACAGCTTTCACACACACTGGGCACCGATGGCATCTGTTTCTTGCAAAGAAAAACATGACAAAGTGCTATGGGGTCTCACGAGGCCCAAGAATGCAGAACTAGCAGGAACCCCCAGTGGATGCCTGTATTGTTGGCATGTTCGGGCTTTCAAGGGAGAAAAAAACACCCATTTCTGCTGCCCCTGGGTGCATTTAGTGCTCATAACAATTTAATTTACTTGCTTCCTTCTGTCTCCATAACCCCTGTCAAGTTACATTTATAACAACTCAGATTTAATTTCCTGACATTTTTTTTTTCTTCCTCTTAGACCTGAACTCTTGGAACACCTTCAGGAAATGAGAGAAGAAAAGAAAAAAATTCGAAAGAAACTTCGTGATTTTGAAGATAATTTCTTCAGACAAAATGGAAGGTAGGGCATGTGTCCCTTCTGTCCCCACCTCCTCTCTACACACAACTAGCACCTTGTTCCTGACAGATCTGTGGAATGCCTCCAGGGTGGGGGCAGTTCTGCATCCTCCCTGAAACCTGGTGCTTGGGTCTGTGCCCAGGTACCCTTAGAGGTTGACAGCAAGAAGGGGAGATTTATGGGCCCCTTCACGAAGAAACGCTCCTGAGCAATGTCCTTGACTGAGGCAGATTCAGCTAACATGCATGAAACTAATCTGTCACATCAAATTTTCATCTAAAACAAGCAATCTGGAGCTGGATTTCAAGTTGAGAGCACTGATGGTTTTTTTTTTTCTTCCTTAAAGAAATAAGGAAAAGGGAACTCTCAATCATCACCAATCTTTTTTTTTTTAATATTTATTTTTTAGTTTATAGGTGGACACATATCTTTATTTTATTTTTATGTGGTGCTGAGGATCAAACCCAGTGCATCCCACATGGTAGGCGAGCGCTCTACCTTGGAGCCACAACCCCAGCTCCATCACTGATCTTAAAGCTCTTTAAAAACTCAGATTGAGCTAGAGGTGTAGCTCAATGGTAGAATGCTTGCCTAGCATGCCTGAGGCCCTGGGTTCAATCCCCAGTACCATGAAGAAAAAAATGATAAGTTCCCAGTTTGAAAAACATACACGAGAAGAATATATATAAAATAAGTCCACCTGGTTGAGAATTGTTTTTTATCCCAGTGAGTTTTAAGGCACAGTCATCTGTATACATTGGAGTTAGATTTAATCATTTTAAGTTGGTTTTATATCAGTCCAAGTTATTTCAACTCTGAATACAGTTTCAGTATTTGAGTACTCTTTTATGTGTCCTGAAGTTTGGGGAAATGGTTTTTTTTTTTCAAATATTATGTCAATTTATTTTTAAGATCTCTGATTTGGATCTGCCCTATGCTGATTATTTCAAAATTTTTACATTTTTAATACCTGAATATTTTCTTTTCATTCTCCACATAGTACAGGATATTTAGAGAATATAGATGAGCAGATAAAAAATAGTCCCCAAATACCTAAAGACAAATCAAGATTAATATTTTGCCGGGTACAGTGGTGCACAACTGTAATTGCAGAGGCTTAGGAGGCTGGAGGCAGGAGGGTTGCAAGTTGAAAGCCAATTTCAGTAACAGCAAGGCCCTGTCTCAAAATTTTAAAAAATCAAAAGGGCTGGAGATGTAGCTCATGGTTAAGCTCCTCTGATTTCAATCCTTGATATCAAAACAAAAAAAGAGTAATATTTTGATGTGTTTCCCCAATCCATCTTCTTTCTAAGCATGTTTGGATTATCTATGTATCCTTCATTGCTCTTATTGTCACATATTATGGACAGTATCTTATACGTGAGGAACTGTTATGTAACATGTACAACTTTTTTAAAAAATACAAATGATAGCCAAGCATGGTGGAGCATGTCTGTAATCCCAGCAGCTTGGGTGGCTGAGGCAAGAGGATCACAAGTTCAAAGCCAGCCTCAGCAACAGCAAGGTACTAAGCAAGTCAGTGAGACCCTGTCTCTAAATAAAATACAAAATAGGGCTGGGGATGTGGCTCAGTGGTCAAGTGCTCCTGAGTTCAATCCCAAGTACAAAAAAAAAAAAAAGTAGAATTATGAGGGACTTACACTATCATAAGATCTGGCTCCATTTCCTATCTGATAAAGTGATAGCCCTCACAGGGCAAAGGGGGAATGGGTGCCAGAGGTTCAGAATCCTAAGGTGTCTTTTCCCTGCTGAGGGGCCATCTAGAACTCTTGCCTAGAGCAAAGCAGAACATGAATAAAATCTGTTTCGTTTTAGTTCACTAAACAAATAAAGACTCATGCTATCCCCCTTGCCCACACTTGCTCTTTAATAGTAAGAAAGGGAAGCCCGGGGTTTGACCCTCTAGAGGGGGCATTTCACAGTACAATGAGAATCGACTTCACAGGGTACCAGGGTGGAGAGCAGTTGCTTTGCAGGGAGCCTGACAGGTGCTCCGGTTTCACTGTGTGTGGACCGTGGACCACAGCACCTTCACAGCAGGTTGTTGCAAGGGCGATATCAGATCATGGATACACAGAACTAGTATTGCACTTGACCCAACTGATACTTGCGTATATAAAAAAAATCTGCATATAAAATTAGTAAACTATAAAGGTTTATTAATGTTATGTGATCCAGTTGCTGAATCCCAGGATCACTTTTATAAGCAAGAGAATGAATTCTCTGTTCTTGAAACAACTGCATGTTGTGGGGCGTACAAATTGCCGATTAGAAACTTAATGGCTTATTAGATGAAATATATAAAAATGAGAAAATATTAAGTATGTCTAAAGGATTTCAGTTAATAGGAACTCACTGTGAAATCATACGTAAGAGCCGAGCAAGACTTTCTGTATTTCTTAGTCCTTCATAGCATTCTACAAAATGCCAGATTAACTGTAAGAGCTCAGTTGCACGGTGCCTTCAGGGGAAAACCATTCTTCACTGCTTATCTAAATCCAGCCTTGGCTAGGTACCAAGAGCCACTTGACAACAGTGATTCCACAGGTTGATAAACTGTAGAGTTATCACATAATGATAATTTGCCTCGGGCCCCCCTTTCCTTTGTTTCCACTAGGAACGTCCAGAAGGAAGACCGCGCTCCTATGGCCGAAGAATACAACGAATACAAACACATAAAGGCGAAACTCAGACTCCTGGAGGTGCTCATCAGCAAGAGAGACACTGATTCCAAGTCCATGTAAGGGGCACCCCAGCCCAGCAAGGGGTGCCTGCGGATGCAAAGAGGACTTACTGTTCTCCTGGTACAGAGCAGCTCTAGAAGGCAGCCTTGGAGCTGAACCTCCAAAGCCTGACACCCTTCTGCCGCCGGGCCTTTTGGGTGGGCTCCTGTTCCTGCTGCCTGCCCTAGAAACTGCCTCCATGGAAGATGACAGTGTGACCTGACTTGGGAATTTTGTCATAAGAAGTCAAGATTCCTGCACACTTACATACTTGTAGTGGGAACTTCACTAACACTAACAGTGATGAATCACTACCTTAGCCACACCCATCTACAGAGATTATACACTGTTTTTCCCTGGACAACTGAGAAACCAGAGAGAACATTCTCTAACTGTGATAAAAACAAGCTCAGGACTTTACTCTGTAGAGTGAATTTGCTGTGGAGGTCCAGGTCCCTCTCTGGACCCAGTCAAGTGTGACCATGCATTGGAGCCCTATTTGCTGCCTTGGCCATTCTAGTGACCTTCCCACAGAGCTGCGCCTTCCCCACGTGTGAATTGATTTTCCCTCCAGCTCTCAGATGGAAGCTGCATCTGCTCACGGTGGCAGAGCAGTCATCCATGTGAGGGTGCGTTTCTTCAGGACTTCCTCAGCTGACAGATCCAGTCCCTGACGAGGACTTAATCTATCTTCAGAGGACAGAGGGATTGCAGCAGCAGCCATATTAATACTGATTTTTAAATCAGGTAACAGGTGAAGAGCCTGGAGATTGTTTCTTGAACACTGACTGCACTTACCAGTCTGGTTTTAATATTAAACACTAAGCGAGGCCAGCAGGCCTATATAACCTGCCGAGGGCTTGATTTTGTTGTGGTTCTAGCCAAACTTAAAGGGCCTTGCTTAATTCTTAGCCTCAGTGTAGAGGATCATGTGAGAGAGGGAGTCTGTGCCATCAGCCTCCTGAATACCTACCAGAGTTTAATTTTTCTAAAAAAGTAAATCTGCACTAAAATCCCCAGACGGGTAAATGTAGCCCTCAGAGCTCAGCTCAAGGCAGAATCTAGCTCACACTACTTTCAAGAGCATATATAGTAGAAAAAAAATTGGCTTTTTTTTGGCCATTTTTGTTTTTATTTTTTTCAAAGACTGTGTCACAAAGCTGTCTATATTAGACGTTTTGGAGGGACCAGGGAATTTAAGACACCAAATCATTCATCTCTTCATTGTGCTTGATGTCACGCTGTGATTTGTTTTTCTTTTTCACCTTCTGTGTCTGCCCTGAGGAAGAGGGTTTGGGGTCCGCCCTTGTGTTTTGTGAGGTAGAGCCCTGGTGTCTGCTTGCCCACCAGGCTGAAGTGCCATCTCAGAGGCTCCACCTCCTGAAGACAATATTGCAGGGTGGACAGGACAGCAGGGACCTCCTCCTGTTCTGAGAGTTGCTTTCTTAAAGGTTGCAGTTTTGTTTTCTAAAAAGGAAAGGGATAGAATGTAAAGCCGCACCAACCAGTTGTCAGTTGTAATAATGGGTCTTAAACACCTGGTGGCGGATTTACTTCTCCATTGCTGAAATGAGATAGCAGCTCTCCTCTGTTCAAGTGGTGGTGGGGAGGGGGGGTCAGGAGAAAGGAATGCCTTTAAGTTTTTCTTAATCATATAGAAGCATGAGCTATGTGTTGGAAGTGCCCTCATTTTAATCCACACATTTAAAGATGGTACATAATCCTACAAATTTAAATGTACATGAAAATATAGTTTGATATTCTTTGCTCTACTGTTTACATTACAGATCGTTATAATTTCAAGGAGATATATTATAAATAAAATGATGCACTTTAGGATGTTTTCTATTTTTGAAATCTGAACATGAATCATTCACATGACCAAAAATTGTATTTTTAAAAAGAAATACATGTCTAGTCTGTCCTTTTTAACTGTTCTCTTAAATAAGCTATGATATAAATCAAATTATCAGTTCACTTTTGAAGCACATCTAAGAATTGTTTTGAAAAAATATCCTATAGAATTTTTAAACTCCATACAAGTGAAAAGCTAGTAGGTTTTTGAAATCTGTTCTTTCTGCCAAAGGTAAATTAACTAAAAGATTTATTCAGGAATCCCCATTCAAATTTGTATGATTCAATAAAAGAAAACACCAACTTATAGTAAATTGTGTATGGAATATTGTGTTTTCCTTTGTAGTTTCTAATCTATATTCTTCAGAGAAAAAAAGCCAAATTAAGTTGGGGGTGGGGAGCTATGTGTACACCAGATCCTTTTTGAAGGCGTATGAGTCAGTGATTTCTGACTCTGCCAGAAACGCAGAGGCAAATCTGTTTCCATGACAACCATTGCTGCAGCCTAGCATCTCTAAGCACTAGAGACTGTGGCTTAATTGGCTTCAAACGACAGAATGCGGCAGACCGGTGTTTTTCCTTTGCTCTCTTGGGAATGTGTATGTTTATTAGCACATGCCAACAAAATAAATGTCAAGGGTTATTTAATAACAAGTAAAGATAAAGCCTGAATAAGCTTGATTATATGATCATAAGAATTAGAGATAGCAAAGGCTTGTAATTTTCATAAGCACTTGCTGTTGTGTTCAGTCTAGGGTAAATATTGAAATACATGTTTATATAAGTATGGTACCATTACTGCATTTCATCTTTGAAAAATTTGGTTTAGATTTCACTTTCTAAGACATGGAGGTGCAATGTTTAGGATAACGGCCAGCTTAAAAGTGCTTAAGACAGTAGACGTTTGCCCTTTGCTGCTAGAACAAAGTTGGCACAATCCTGGTGATCTCCCAACTCAGGGGAAATTTCCATGAAAGACCAAATCCAATTTCAAACTTGAGATTGGACTAATTTTTTTTAATTAACTAATTGTTAGAGTGCAGTGTGAGCTACTCGATGAAATTTCTTCCCTGTGGTTGCCAGTTTAAAGTCAAAAGATTTTTTTCAGCAGAGTAACACATCACCAAGGTTTTAGCTTTGTCTCATTCTGAAGCAACACTTGCTGGGGGAAGAGCCTCTTGCAGGGTGTGTCTGCTCCCAGGTGCGACATTTCTAGCCCAGGAAAAATGCCTCTGGGCTGTGCCTGTCATAAACACTAAACTGCAGCAGCAGTCTTGGAACCCTGAAGGGCCGAGCATTTGTGAATGTGGCTGAGCTTGGAATTCCTTACCAGGTAAATACTTGGGCTTGGTATCAGAATAAAGGAATGGCTGTGATACAACCAATTAAGCCTAGTCATTCTGGGGGTTGCCTAGTTTTCAGCAGTGAGAACTAGACCTGGTAACTAGAACCAATCACAGATTTGTAAGAAAAATCACATTTTAAAATTTGTCATTTTTTTTTAAAAGATATCTTTAAATCTGAGAATGAAGATACCATTTTTCTGCTTTTGATGGCGTATTTATTGTTGAACACCATCAGCTATTAACTGCTTGGTGAAAAACTGGTTGTCATCTAAATTCTGTTTTGCTTTCCCGGCACGCTGCTTCCTGGATTCTTCTCCCTCAAGTGGGAAGAAGTGCTTTCTGCGCCAAGATCAATGCCTTTGGGATGTTCTTTTTTAGCATCCACTTGATTAAAGAAGTGGAAGGGACAAAACTATCCTAAATGTTAAGTGGCATTTCCTCTAAAGCCCACATTTAAAGAGACCCGGAATGTGCTTTTCTCTCCTTCGTTCATTTTTATCTCTTTGCCTACTTGACCCTCAAAATGTACTAAAGAGCATTATTTGCCAAACTGGCTGAACATTTTTTCAGATTTTTATAGATTCACATTGTGCACACTGCCGCTGTCACAAATGGTGGCCACTATGGCAGGCTCCAAGCAGGAGTGATAGATACATACCAGTCAGGCAGCAGCACCAGCCATTGCCCAAACAGACTGTGCCCCATCTGGCATCTGCACTTGTCTCCCAAGAGCTTCTTAGTAGATGCTTGTATATAGACCAAGAACAGAAAGAAGTACAGATGTGACAAATATGTATGTGAAAAGGAGGTCTATGTACATTTACAACTTCATAGTATTACAAAGTTGCAGTTATATTTTTTAGAGAATCTCATTTTACCTGGAATGGAGCCAGTCATGGTTACCTGTGTAGCTAGAGAAATCAGTTCCATGGCAGATCTAATTCACCTGAAAATACCTACACAGTCATGAATATGGTCAAGAATGAATAAAATTTTCCCAAGTAATATGGGCCCAGAACAATGTTTACATGACGTGTAAGCAGAAAGAATTTGAAATTACCAATGTCCTTTTTAAAATGTAAATCGAATGAAAAATATTATGTACATTTTTGTACATGACTTTTGTATAAGCTTAAAAAAATAAAATATTTTTAACTGGATGTTCTGAAATGTGTGAGAGTGTCAGGGATAGATGACTGAACTGCCTGTGGGGGTCTGATCGTTCCCTTCTTTAAGGAATCCAACGCTGGCTCCCTGGAGCCCCTCAGAAGACTCATGAGGACTGAGTTTTTGTTCTGCCTCCAGGGAAGAAGGGCACTGGAAGGTGAAGCAAACTGGTACATGTTAGCCATGTCCATGTTGTAGCTAGAAAAACATATTGTGTTCTATGCTCAGCTGCCTTTAAATCAATTCATAAAAGTGGCAGGAAGTGCTTGGGGAGGGGGTGTGTAGAAACAAAGGCATTAAAGCAAAATATTTTTTTAAGTACATTTCCAAAGTCTACGAGGCCATCATAGGCAAATATATTTGGTATTTACTATTCTGAAACTTATTAATACGACTACCAGAAAACAGACTTTGGGGAAAAGGCACATTTTAATTTTGTAAAGTAAGTACCTCACCCTTAATGTTGCCCGTCACAGGCCAGGTGCAGCACTAAGAACCTGCCAGGTACCTGCCAACTTAAGCCTTGAATGGCTGTGAGGTCGGTGCCCCAAGGTAGGTGGGCATGCAGGTATCCTTTGGACTGCATGTGCTATATATATATATATATATATATACAGTGACTTCAAAAAAACATCAGGCTTGAAGTAAAGACCTTGTCCTAGGATTGGCCCCAGGACCAGTCTGACTTGAGAGTACAAGCACAGTGCTGCTAACATAGATGTGATTTAACAAGGTCCTGCTGAAACTGAGGCTGATCCAGAATTGTTTAAATTTTGTAATACTGATCCAAAGTAATAAAATTTGCCACAAGTTACAGGCAGCACTTAGTGATCCTCCATTTCCTTCAACATTTTGATGTTGCCTCTTTTGAGGAACCAGAAAGTTTAAGCCCAAGTACATGAAGGTCCTCCAGGTTGTGACAAAGCCACCCTCACCTTTGCACTGGCTTTGCTTCTGGTCCTATACTAGTTTGCAGAACTATGGACAACCTCAATGGGAATTTCAGAATGGTATCTCCGCACAGTTGGGGAGCGAAGAGAGGCAAGACCCCCTTCAAGAGTCCCATTATTACCTCTTCTAAAAATGAATTCTGAATATTGTAAGACAATATATATCAGCTATCCCGAAGTTGGATCAGCTCACTGAGGCTATATATACATAGTAGAATTTCATATTCAGTAAAAGCCAAAAGTAAAATTCATTCCCAAAGGCATTTTTAGAATCCTGGCTGGCAGGCAGACAAATGGGGTTTGGCAGGAACTGGGGTTGTTGACAGCTTGGTTCTCACTTTTCCTCTCCAGCATCAAGGCTTATACCACAAGGGTGGCTCCGAGTTGTACGGCAGCTGCTCGGAGGAACTCAGCCCAATGCAAAACAGCAAGGACATCTCTGAGAGCACTCAGATCCCCAACTGGGCCATGTGTATATAAATTATATGTGAACTGCAAATCCTGAAATTCATAATCTTTTAGATGTTTGAACTTAATTTCTCAAAAGCAATCCAAAGATATGTAGAAATCTTTATATTGTTTATCTGGTTCTCCAGCTTTGAGTACTATTTAGTAAGATATTTTGAGATATTATGATTTTTCTGTAACTGTTACTTTTGAAGAACTTAAAATTACTATACAGGATTAAACAAAAGGAAGGGAAAAGACAGTGAAAGCAGCAGAGAGTAGTGCTTCTTCCACTGAACATGCATGTGAAGGTGTGGGATCTTGGAGTTGTAGTAGCTCTCTAGGGCTTCACATGAACACCTTCCTGAGGTGCTGCATTATGTTCAGTCCAAGAACCTCATCTTGAGGAGGATGCAGACTGCATTCTGGGCAACTGTGAAATGAATAGCTCCGCCAATTAATCCAACATAGTGAGTTAATAGAGAGGTAACAGACACCAGCACACTGGACCACACTCAAGGAGAATAGACCACTGCTGATGCTTGAGGGCCACACTGCAGATGGTCCAGCTGTATAACCTACCCTCCCAAAGTCTGTTTCTTTATGTGAAAAACGGGAATATGATCATAGTACCTACCCAAGAGGCTTATCACAAGAATTTAGTTAGATGACTGTAAACTGATAACACAGTAAATCCTCAACAGACAATGGTGCTGGGGGTCCTCATTGAGGCAAAGATTCTTCTTATCTTCAAGTCCAGTAATGCATTTTGAATCCCTACAAAAAAAGGAACTGTATTTCCCAGTATCATATCCCCCGCCATCGCCCTCTGATTCCTTGTTTATATAAGTCAGATCAGAATATACCTCCAGCACTTTAAGCACAAATTAGTGCTAATAGGATGAGCCAGATTTCATGGGAACATTAACCAATTATTCTCTCGGGGGAAAAATCATAAATGGTGACTGTTGCTATTCTCAAGCAAATCACATCGAAAGGCATTGCCTCAGAAGGATTAATGCTTGCTACATTCCTTCTCTCACAGAGGCAGGGCAAACCCCTCTAAGTCTACTTCTCCCCAAAACATTTTGGGAGGTCTGAATCTGCTCAGGCATGTATGAAGAATGAACTTTCTGATGCCTGAGGCCAATGCGGGAATGTTTGAGTTCAGGGAAAGGAGAAAGGGGTCAGAATAAACTTTGGATTGGCTTCCTGGTCACTTAAATGTCCTGAAATTTCTACCTTGGGGTATATTTTTAACAACTAAAAACTAAATGTACCCCTGAGAGGAGAGTTACTCCAATTTTGGCAAGCTCCTAATCAGCATACTAAATCTCGTCAAAACCTAAGGTCAAGGCTGGGAAAGTACCTGGGGTCCTCCAGTCCCTCCTTAATCTGCAGAAGGAATAAACTAAAGGTGTCATTGCTGGGGCCAGAGGCAGGGCAAGTTCTGGGATTTAGTGATTTTATATTCTCATTGAATGAGGCTGTGCTCCACCTGTTACCTCAGAAATTCAGAACCTTCAGATCTCCTGTCCCAACACTCTGCCATGCCTTGAACTTGAGAGTCCTTGATTTTGGTTCACAGACGTCTGCATTCCCAAGAATGTTCAGGCATCAAAGGTCAAGAGACCCATTTATGACAAGCAGCAGTAGCTTTGGTTGTGGCAGGCCAGCCCTGCTGGGACCACAGGCCAGTACCTAGTTGGCACTTGCTGTCAACTTCTGCCCTGAAGAGTGCCGACCTCTGATGAACCAGAGGAGAATGGGGCTTTTTCCAAATCTGCTCTTTGCTTTCTTTTCCTCCTTATCCTAAAGAAAAAGTAACCATGAAAGACTTATCTGGTTTAGTGCTTGGCTCCATCTGAGGGGTACGTGTGTGTCTTTTAACTCTTATTTAAGTTTCTCAGGAAGTTTCACAGCAGTAGAAACTGAATCAATAATTATCATAAATTGTATCTAACTCCCATGGGATTAGGCCGAGGAAAATCAGCTTTTAAAAGATCTGAAGACCATGTGATTGTGCACCCTGCCAAGTACCCAGTCACTCTGTGGGGGTGGGGGGAGCTGACAACTGAACTAATTTTCCTGGTGCTACACACAACTAAGGCGTATGCATGCCATCATTTTGGAAGGAAAAACCAAAACCTGGATTGGCTGATCCACAGGAGAGGCTGTTATTAATGCAGAGCCAAGGAGTCTGCCATTACTGGGGTGGACACTTCTCTGGCACCTATTCTCTAGCATGTCTCACTGTACAAGTAAAGGGCATGAGAGATGTTAACCAAAACCTGCCTGGCTTGGAGGGGACCAGCAGCCCTATCTGCATCAGTCTGTGTTAGCAGCCCAAAGCAGAGATTGAGTCAAGAAACCAACATTTGGGGATAGAGTTGTGGTTCAGTGGTAGAATGTTTGCCTAGCACATGTGAATCACTGGGTTCGATCCTCAGCATAAAACAAACAACAAAAAAAAAGTTTAAAAAAAGCCGCCAACATTTGCCCAACCCTCCACAGGGCTCAGCTCTCGTGGGGTGCATTAATCCCTCTTTTCCAAGAACCTGAACTGGGAAGGCACAGTGGTAGGTTTTGTGTTGCTTCCAATTGGAGAGCTCCCTTGGTCAACAGAGAATGTTCACCTTTTCTGAATCCCCATCCTTATCACATATTTCTGCACTGCTTTGCATGATCCTGTTCCCAGCATAAGCCTGTAGGCTAAACTACGCATGACTCCAGTCCATGATCCACAGAAACATCTCAAAAACATCCATAAACCAAAAAAGCAGCCTCTGGTACTAACGAAGTTAAGGTTATCAAAAGGCAACATGGGCACTGTGTTCTTAGTCATTTTAGAGTCATTTAGAGACTTAACTGGTTTTAAATTTGTGGTGTTTTTTGTTTCCTTGTTTTTGTTTGTTTGTTTGTTTTGTGCAGTACTGGGGATTGAACCCAGGGATACTCTGCCACTGAACTACATCCCCAGCCTTTTTAATTTTGATACAGGGTCTCAATAAGTTGCTGAGCCTGACCTTGACCTTGTGATCTTCCTGCCTCAGCCTCCCAAGTTGCTGGGGATTACAGGCATGTACCACCATACCCTGCTTGCTTGGTTCCATTTTCGGAGCCAAAGAAAACTTGAGACAATCAACATTCACATTTCTCAATAAAAGGAAATAATGAAACTTAGCAGATTGGCTTTGACTTTAAATTATTTTCTTTTTCTCCTAAGCTTGTCCCTAACAAAGTATTCTATTCCCTGGGTATCACTACAAATCTATTTTGCTATTCTATCATACATCCTCCTTTGACTTGCCTATCAGCTGATTAACTACTATCTGACTATTAAATCCAAATCATAGTTCGGGGAGAAACAAGCAGATACTAAGCTCCTTGCTCCCACCTCACACCCCCCTGTAAAAAATCCTGCCAAAAGATAGGAGGAAACTAAGTTTGGGAAATGCCATATACTCTATTCCCCTTTTAGAGATTCACAAAGTTGTCTAGGAAGTCTTATAATAAAGTTTAACTTTCCTTAACCCAGAGATAGCCATATCTCATATAAATACAAACCTTCCTTTTCCTCCTCATAAAAGATGTTTTTCTATGGGAAGTGCTGCCTTCTGCCAAGTACTGAGACTTAAAGATCAAGTCTTCCTGTTCCTGAAAACACAGAGCTGCTTGACCGGTCAGAGCTGCCTATGAGCCTACAGTCTCCCATCGCCATGGAGTGACCAAGTAAGTTCCTATCCTGAGAGGACCTTGCCTTTACCCTCTGCCCTGAGACAGTCCAGCATCACTGTGCGGAGAGGTGAGGAGGGCACAGAATACCCACACTCCAAGCTCTAACCAGAGGCAAAACTCTCAATTCCAATACTTAGCTAAAATCCCATTGAGCCAAACACAATGTGACATCCTAGATCGGACCTTGTAAATCCAAGACACCAGCGGAAAAACTGGTAAAGATCCAAATTAAGTCTGGCATTTAGTTAATCAGAGTTTCCTAATACTGGTTTCCTTAATTTTAGTAAATATACCACATACCAGGGTTTTAAGGTAAACATTACGGGAAACTGAGGAATTCAAGAAACCTGTATTTTCTTTGCTCCCTTTCTATAAGTCTAAAATAATCAAAATAAAAATATTAAAGGAAGAAAATAACAAAACAAACCCCTAAAGAGGGATCACCTGAAAGATATGAAGCTCATCCTTCTCTCCACATTGTATAATGAACCTTTCTTACTCCATTCGGGCTGCCAAACAAAACACCACAGACTGAGTAACTTACAAACAGAAATGTGTATCTGACCATTATGGAGGCTGGGAATTCCAAAGTCAAGGCATTGGTGGTCTTCTGAAGGCTGCTTTGAGACTGCCTTCTCACTGAGTCCTCACAAGGCAAGCAGGCAAGGCATCTCTATAGCTTCTTTTATAAGGACACTAATTTCACTCATGAGGCCTGTGCCGAAGCACTTAATGGAATGACCACCCAAAGCCCAGCCTCCTCATGCTCTCACTTTGGGGTTAAGTCTCAATACATGAATTTTAGAGGGATACAAAAATTCATACCATTGCAGGTCCCACTGCATCCTGGGCAGGAAAAAAGAGGGGCTGCCCCACCCATTGTGAGGTATTAAGCATACTTCACCCCAAACCACTCATGTCAAGCAGAGGCCACCCAGTGGGTAACACTCAGCTACGCTTGAGACCCAATGCAGACGTCATGAGAACTGCCACCTGATCACCACTGAATTGCATACTGGCAGCAAAACACAAAACTTGGTGTGACTACCCACCATATCATGTTCCTTTTTATTTGACTACTGTGTAGCCTCAAATTTGCTGCTCATATTCAGCAGGTGGGCAAAATACAGGTTAGTAGTCAAGCCCAGGGCCCACCATTTTGTAATAACAAGCAAGTTATTGTCACCTGAGAAGCTTGGATAGCGCTGGTAATTATTATTAAGAGATTATGTACTAGGCACTGTTCAATGTGCTTTCCATGAATTCATTTAATCCTCGTAACAATTCCATGAGGTAGGCACTCCTTCTGTCCCCCCTTTAACAGGAAGAAAATGAGGCACAGAGAGGTTAAGAAATCTGATCAAACCTACAAAGCCAGAAATGGCAATGGTGGCAATTAAATGTATAATGCCTAGTAAATATTGATGCAAGATCTGGTATATAACATGTAATCAATATGGGTTATTACTAAACTCAGAATCTTAGTATCCATTTCTGTGGCTTAATCTAAGATGTGATTTTCTTACCCTGGGGGTTGGGGGTGAGGGCAGCCCAAACCCTTATTTTCTCTAGTTCAACTTCAAATTATGCCTCAAGTTTCTCTTAAGACTTCAGAAAACTTATTCACTGCTCTAGTGATTCCTGCAAGTCCAATTTCATAGGGATTGGCCAATCCATTTCTGTAAAGTTCTAGGCATTATTATGTTAGGCATGGTAGGTCATACAATCTGTTATATAGCCCTCCATTTTTTTTTAACATCTTTCAATCTTTAGAAACGTAGAAATCATTTGCACTTAAGGGCTACAGTTTGCCGGCATCTGCTTTCTAGGATTATTAATAGATACCATATAAATCACCAAAAGGCTTCTGTATGGAATGGGTGGAACCATCAACATTTGCTAAATTACCTAGTTACACTCTGCATAACCCCACCTACCAAAGGAAAACTGCCAAAGAATTTCATTAAACTAGGAAGTGACTGAAATGATGAAGATACATCCAAAAGTCTGTAGGGGAGGAAGGCAAATCTAAAAATCCCTGACTGGAAAAGTGAAGTCTTCTCAAGTAGAAAGTAATGTAGGGGAAAAAGGAAACTATCCCAGAATAATCATAGTGTTCTAGAAGCATCACTGAATTTCATTCATGTAATAAATATTTAGGAATATTTCCTGGGCTTCTCCATGTACACACTGTTCTCAGTAATAGAATTATAGAACATTAAAACTCAAAGGGACCTTAGAAATTATCTGGTCCAGTTTCCTTATTTCAAGAATGAAGATTCTGTGGCCTCAAACTTCTTTGAAATAACTTGGTTATTTATGTCCAAATTTAAATGTGATCAGTTTCCTTGCCCCTCAAGCTTGGCATTGACATAGGTTATTAAATGTTGGTGAATGGAACTTATCATTGAAAAACTACTCTTCTTTATTATTTTAAAACCATTTATTAAACCTGGTAAAACAATATATCATTGTTTTAAAAAATTATTGAAAATTCTTCTGCTTGTTTTTCATACTCTTACAGCATGTGTAAGTGGGCTAAGGATGGATCACTGGATGAACAAGTCTAATTCATCTTCAACCTCTCTTCTACTTCCTCCTCTCCTTTTTACACAATCTTCCTAGTTCCACTGCTGCTACCCTTGCTGCTCTGAGCTGCTGTTTCTGCTTTAGTATTTCCCATTCCAAGTACTCCAGATTTATACCATCCACATTTTCCTTCTTAAAACCATTCTCAGAACCAGTCTCAGTGGCGCACACCTGTAATCCCAGCAACTTTGGGAGGCTGAGGAGGATCAAAGGCAGCCCCAGCAATTTAGCAAGGCCCTAAGCAACTCAAAGTGAGACCCTGTCTCTAAATAAAATATTAAAAAGAACCAGAAATGTGGCTCAGTGGTTATGGGCTCCTGGGTTCAATCCCAGTACAAAAAGGGCGGGGAGTCTCAGGTCACATCACCTAGAGGCTCTGGATCCTTGAGCAAATGCCACCTAGCTACTCAATAAAGTTCTAATTCAGAGCTTCATTCTCTTGGTCCAAGTCTCCCATCTTTCTTTCTAATCTTATTTATCATTCCTCCACTTCCTCTGATGCTCCCTTCAAACTGTTCCATACCCTTCCCTAAAATATGTTCCCTTTGTTTGTGCCTTTGCTGAGGCTTCTCCCTCTCTGGGAAACACCTTTTTGTTCATTGCACTTTCAGAAATCCTATCCCTCCTCCACACTCCTGGCCCTGCTTGCTTTATTTCTGCAGCACTTGGTTCTACTTTCTTATGGCAGGGACCAAATTTCACCTTCCATTGGATTATTTGGTTATATGGCCTGATGCTTCTACTGAAAGCAAGTGGACCATTCTGCAAGTACAGTAAGAAATAGTTTTAAGTTAAAACACCGAATTTATTGCATAATATTGAACTATATGCACACACATAGAAAATAAACATTTAATATAACTGTATATCTTTTTTTAATATTGTATTTATAAAGACTGAAAAACTACCAATTTAGCAATTGGAGTAAGTTTTAAAAACAAAAAGCAAAAGTCCACGATCCTTCATCATTTTGAAGCTGTATCACGGTTCATAAATACTTCATTTTATATAAATAATTTTTCTGTAGTTACTAGGAATTTAAAATTAGGCTTACACGGGTTCTTTGATCATGTAGAATTCTCTTATCCCATGATGAAGAAGGTTGAACATGTCATTTTTGAGATACATATGTTTGATTTAAACATAATCCCCTCAAAATCCCACTGTAAACAAACATTTCAAATGTGACAAACAAAAATTCCATCATAAAGAATGTCCATAAGTCTAACGATTAGGGAGGAGGAAAAAAATCTAAATAGAAAATTTGAAATTTAAATAAAAGTACAAAAAGAAAAACATCATGCATCTACCAGGAGGAAAAGGAAGAGAGAATTAAATCATAACAAAGAAGAGAATGCAGTAGAGAAGACAGGAAAGCAAAGTTAGGGAGAGGTGGAAAGGAGAAAAGAGAAGAAAGATGACATGAAACAGAGAAAGGGACGAGAAATTTATTGTTTCTACTTTTCTTGGGCAATATACTCTCTTTAAAAAAAAAAATTAACACAACTTGCTCCAAAAGCTAGATAACGGAAGGGGTGGGAGGCCTATCAATTCATCTTATTGTCAAAGGGACATGGTTGAGGAGCAAAACAAAATTAGGCTCAACTGCAACTTGAAGCTGTTCTGCATATCTTTAAGGAGGCCTAGGAAATATGCACATCCATGGGAAAGTTGCTATTCCCTCAAGAACTTTTTTATTTTTTTTTAAGCAAGCTGTGTTCATAAAGCCTCCTGGAAACTCAAGAGCTCTGCCAAAGTAATGGATCCAGTCTCAGCTTTGGGGGATTGGGAGTTTCTGAAGTAGTCCTTTCCTCCTGTAGATTAGAGTAGGGCTGCAACAAGCCAGGGCATTTCCAAGGCTGGAGAGAAAGGAGGCAGTCTGCATGCGCAGGTAGGAAGGAATAGATCAAAGCCATTCTTATAGAGGAATGAGAAGTTAAGAGAAGGAAAAGGAAGCATTGTAAGGAAAGAACCAGCTGAGAGAGACATTTGGGAAATGAAAGGTTAAAAGTCTACTGCCATTTTATCCAGCAGAATGCAACACATTCACAGGTAAAAAGAATACTGGGTAGTTTGGTTTAAAACAAAAACAAAAATCCAAACCAACTCCCATACCAGAGCCAATTTTTCATCCTATCCCCAACCCCTGATTTTTTGACCAAGCTGTTAGCTACTTATAACCCCAGAAACACATCAACCATTTTCAGGATTCAAAAGTCCCAATCCACTTAGACAATAAAAAAATAGATCACTCCCCATGATTCTCTATATAGGCCTCAATGTGGACACTGAGGAAGGAAGGGACATCTAGGACGAGCTAGGGAGATTCAGGCCAAACTAAACCCCTCATAATTGTCAAGCGCCTGGGTCAGTCGTGCACTCAGAATCTCTTTGCTGCTGTACTTGGGGAGGTCGAGCAGGTTGTAGCAAGTGTGGGCCACAGGCAAGTACTCCTCCCCACTGGCCGTGGACTGGATGACAATCTGTAGGCTGGCCATGCCATAGATGGGAATCCGGTCACTGCCAGTCAGGAATACTGTGGGAGAAAGTGAAATGGCATTATCATTCTCTCAGCAACACAGAGGATGGAATGACACCCTGTGGCTCCCATGGGAAGTACAATTCCATTCATGTGCCAATATGTACCCAGAGCAATGATGGATGCTTACAACCACCTTCAAGTAAAAATGTCATTAAACGTGTGCCCTCATAAACTTCCTAAGTTTTCACAAAACCAAAGACAAAAGGAGTGATTGACATAGAAAAAGAGGAGATGCCCTCAGGGGAAACCAGGAAGACCAAGACTCTATGACCTCAAATCTCCTCTCATGTCAAGTGTCTGATGCCATCTGACGTTTGAGCTTCCATTTAGGATCTGATGACCACTCCCTCCTTCAAAACCCAGAAGAGCTGATCCAGGCACCATATAAGTCATTTCAATCTTATAACATCACTGTGATTTGACAAAAGTCAGGGCAGGAGGTGGGGTGGGGTGGGGCCATAGGAGCTTGTCTTTCCTTCTTCCTAGTACAGAATAACTTTGTCACAGTAGAAATGCTGGAAATCACTATAATGAAATTGTCACTTAAGAAGCACCTTCAAATAACCTGAGGCCATGATGTAGGGACATCATTAATCCAGAATTAATAGAAACTTCCCCAAGTATAATGGTTCCTAAACAGAAAATGTCTTTTTCTATGGAAATCCCCAAGGCCATAATAGGCTTCTCTTGAATGCCTTACCACATCATTTAGCAAGACTTATCCTGTCACCCAACTAATGCCACTGCTTCTCAACAGCCCAACATCACCAGCCAAAGCAGAGCTGGGCCTCTTGGAAGAGTTCTGGTGTTAGATCTCCACTTCTTCGTCTTTGCTGCATGTGAGCAGCAGAACATACACCTACGTCCTACGTTAATATTAATATGTGCTCATTCTTATAAAGCAAAACTAATTTCCCTTTCAATCCCTATTTATTTATTATTTATTTAATATTTATTTTTTAGTTTTAGATGGACACAATATCTTTATTTTACTTTTATGTGGTGCTGAGGATTGAACCCAGTGCCTCACAGGTGCTAAGCAAGCACTCTACCACTTGAGCCACAATCCCAGCTCGTATTTTTTTGTTTTATATAAATAAAAATTCTATATTACTCATTGGCTAATTTCTGACTTTGATTATATATAGACATGAATAAAGGAAAGATTTTAGGTGTTTTTAAAAGGCCGAATTTGTTCATGTAAACTAACTTCATTTTCCTTTCCAAGGATATTACCCTTCTCTGATATCATCAAACCAGTCACAAAGAATCACATATTATATAATTCCTTTCATAGGAAATGTCCATAATGGGCAAATTCATAGTACAGAATGATGGGGGGCTATCAATCATACCTCCCCACTTCCATCTACAAAGGCACTTAACAGTACTTTTTAAATTTTAATTTAGTTTTTTGTTTATACTTAGCAATATTTTTTAAAGCCAACAGATATGAGGGAGGCTAGTCCAAACAATGTCCTTCCCTAAATGTAATACTTAAGGAATCACTTTCTCTTTTAGTAGGGCATGGAGGATTGAATCCCAAGGGTGCTTTACCACTGAGCCACATTTCCAGTTCTTTTTTACTTTAATATGAGACAGGGTCTTACTAAATTGCTGAGACTGACCTCA